TAACAAAAATTCCTTCTCGCTGAAACATGAGCACCATTTTACCATGCAATTTCCATATTTGAAATTTTGCATTCGGCCGATAGTTTTGGAGTTAGTGCTCTGTGTCACTTGGGCTGAGACACCCTGTAGATTCTCCCCGCGTATTTGCCCGTACGTCTTCGTACTGCTAACGCCGAAGCCCTGAAACAATACCCTAACAATAGGCTATAAAGCAAGTTCGCGTAACATTGCCTTGTACTCCGATACGGGAGACGGTCTTTGTAACCAGTCTCTTTATAATATCGTGACGTAGTAAACTCCCCCTCTTCCAGTTGCTCGTAATCTTATTAAATTCCATCGCAGGATAAAATCCTATTAGTTCGCTGTACGAGTCGCTACTTATGCGAATCCTTCGGAATCCTCAGGTCCATTTGCTAACGTCAGCTCCACCCTTTAATTCATAATACTACATAGAATCTTGTTTCTGTTGCCAGAATAACACGTTGTTTATTCCAGGGCGACTAGAATTGATAGCCAGGTTTATTTTTATTTAGACATTTGAGGGTTTCACAGCCCTGGTGCTTCATGGTTGATATTAACCGAGTAAGATACTTCCGACGTTTCGCCACCACTGAAGCTTCTTCTGCTCTAGCTCTTCGTTTTTATGATTTTTAACGTATAGCTTTTATTAGAGTGGCTTCCGGCTATGAAGTTTGATTCATAAATTCAAGAGTAGATATACCCCGAAAGAATGTCCTCTTTTCAATTCGAGCAAATAATACTCACCTTGGGTATCATGACGCAATTACCTCTGGTTATTTATCGTAGATATTACGCAAGATCGATGTTTATCGCAGACGTTAATCTCACTGACGATGGTTGAAATTTTCATCGAAAATGTTTTACGAAGCCTGACAGGATTACAATGATGTTGCATACAATAATAATATGCATCGATAGCCGAATGTTATTTCTCGATACCAGTAATCCATCAAATTTTACAGCTGCTATGTATAGAATTTGCATTTGGATCCTTCGAGTGGAATAACGTCGAATTACCAAGTTCGTTTGTTACAGGGACGTGGTCGCCACCTTTGCTATATTTATTCCGGCCGGATGCACGACACCGCGACAATCGCGTGCGAGGGAAATCGCGGTCTCGAGCGACCTTTGGGGAGTCAGAGGACCTCGAGCACTAGCGCACCCGCTTTTAAGTTACTTTTCTATCCTCTCGCGATAGGGATGGTCACGAATCTAGTTGGTGAAGAAAAAGCCACCTTTCCACGTGGCGTAGAGCACGTGGCTCAGGAAGTTTGATAACTATGGTAGCTATGTTTTCTAAGTACGAATGTGACTACGGTAGGTGGAGGACCAACAGACTACTTGGCGTTCCTAATGGGGATGATAAGGAAGAATGAAGCGATAAGGAAATGCAAAGTAGTGTAAAGCAAGGATTAGGTGAATGTAATACGAGTGTAAATGGTATACATTAGATGTTATTGTATAGTCAAGTTATACAACTTTGCACCCTTATAAATAAATCTCAATCATTCCCTAACTACTGTATACTAGATGTAGAAATTACTTTTGTGGCTTTCTACAATGAACTTGGGAAAGTGCCCACCGATGCTTTCCATTTTCAGACAATTTTTCAACGAGTGTTTCATTAGTATGAAGATAGATGCTTTAACGTACCATAATAGAGGGTGAATATTTCCACTCGAGGGAGAAGCCATTATTGATAAAAATTGAGAGAGTAATGGTTAAGGAAGTATTTTATATTGGTATCACGACTACGTCTCTGGAAATTCTCGTTAAAAATTTCTGGAGCACGACCATACCTGCAATATAAATGAGTTAATTCATTGTTGGAAGTAATTCATTGCTAATTCACATTTAATACGATCCCCAGGGTGGTGGCCCGAATGTAGAGGAATGGTGGTAACGAGACCAAGCAATTAGAAATATAAATAAAGTATCTTAATTAGAGTACCATAAACTTTGTATTTTTATTTAAAATTTCACTTTAAATTGCTATCAGTTTAATTTTAAACAATTGGTCGAAATAGCACATTCTCTGAGCCAGAAAGTTCTCCCTTCTCGAAACACAAATCGAAATTTGACTCTTCCATCGATTAAATTGCTCCAAGTTGGTTTAATCCCTCATCTATTACTCGAATAAAATTTTGCCTATTTCTGGAAGGTCGAAAGACACTCTTAATTGCGGGACTAAACGCATTCTCGAGGCGACTTTGACGACATTCGCTGAATTCATTCCCGACTAAATCTGCGATTCAATCCCTAACCGAGTCGTTTTATACCTCCCAGCAATTCACGGCATCTCGTGTTCTTCAGGTTTCTTCGCCCTCGTGGATTTCGCGAGCGTTTGGCACCTCGCTCTTTGGCAGGCAGTTGAAATTCCGAAATAATTACGGAATGTTCGTTTATGATGTGGCAGAAATGATATTCTGCAACGTTCCCGATCGAAATACCCAAACACCTTCGGTTGTAGGTCCAAATATACCTCAAAACGGAAATTTGTCCCACGACAGCCATTCAAAACACTTAGCACGGGTACAAATGAGTTACGTAAATACACGCGCCCCTTTTGTTTTGCTTGTATATCCCGCTTGCTGTTAGTTTTTTACTCGGGCTCGTTATTGAGGCATTTTCACGAAAAACTTCAAAAGGGAACAAAGAAGTTACCGCGTTGAAAGCTGATTTTTCCGCGTTTTATAATTATATGCGTCCCTTTGGTTTTCTTCGTTAAAGGTGGCCAAAAATCGTTTATACAGATAATGCAAAATAGTGAAATTGTTTAATTGGTATATGCTTTAATTTTAAGGAAAGAAAGATTTAATTTTTGTCTAAGCTTCTTAACACATCTGTTTCCTTTGGATTAATTAACGTAGCTACAAGACTGTAAGATGACCTTTGGTTTTCATTCGATTCCACTATTTGGAAAGCAGAATTCATTTTACTGCAAAAGCTTCGTCGGAGCGTTCGAATTGAACGGGTGACCAATAATAAATTCATAAGTCGTTGTCGTTATTCCTAAATTGGATATCCCATATTCGTTCCGCGTATTATTTCTTCGTATCTGCTCGAACACTGTTTCGATGGAATGGGAGGTGCGAAAATCGCGTTTCCTTTTTAATAATCGAATCGTTGCTGTATAGTTGTCTGTGTAAGTCAATCAACGACTTCGGACCAGTTCTTGAACAAACAGAACTCCTACGCAGACACAAATGTCTTTATTCAAGTTTTAATTAACTCGATTACAAAATCCCTTCGCATGGCTAATAACTAACGATGACCTCCTTCTCCCCTAACCACTGGAAAACCGATATCGCATTTGCTTCGAAATTTTCTCAGCTCTGTGGCGCGATTGGAAAGACCCGAGTGTGAATCGAATTATCGATAACGTCGTCGGTATTGAAATTTCCCAATTAAAATTTCTTATCGGGTGACACCCGCGGATTGGCGCTCGAATAATTTGTCGAACCGATGATATTAATGTATATTTTACAGCAGTGCTTTTTAAACTTCTTTCATTCCCAACTTCTTTTCACGAAATGAAATTATTGGAATTGATACTATTGATTGCAACGATAATATTACAAATTAATACAACTTGGTCGAATAATAATCACTAGAGGAATATTCAGATATTTAAATATAGTTAGAATCATATTTTCTGGGTTCCTCTAATGGGTATTGATCTATAATTTAAGGATCTCAGTCCTAGAGAATCGTTTCAGTTGCAGTGGAAATTATCTTTCCAAATCGACCGAGAAATTGCACAATTTCCTACTGCCGCATACATCACGTTGTAGTTCGACCATCGTGCTATAGATGGCCAAAGGATGACGACGATTCTCGCATGAAATGTTGCGAGAAGAAGGTTACTTAAGACCTGCGAGAGTACGGACTCGTTTAAAAAGGGTGCTCGCTACTTTAATAGCGCGTCAGTACGTTTTCAATAACGTGGTGGCGGGGTATGGCTATCAAGACATACCCAGTACGTAATTTTTGTAAACGCGAGGCTGTTGGCTGCCAATTTTTGCACCGACGCCTCCAGTTTATTCAAGCAACAATAGAATATGTATATAGTGTGTGGTATAAATTGACAATCTGGAAAATTGAATGGATATATACGGTCAACTTAATTAAGTGCCGAATTGATACAATAATTGTGAGATAGGAAAGGAGAGGAGCGCGTCGACGATGGCAATTTATCCTCGCGTGTATATCGGTGGAAAATAAATTTAAGTAAATGTTGCGTGGCGCGTACTTTTGCGCATACGAGAGTTTGCGGTAAACTCAATTAACCTCGTATTTGGGTAGGTTATCGCAGTTGAAATATAAATGCTGATAAAAAATGGCGCAGCGCTGGATTTGTATAAAAAGACACCGGTCAGGAAGGAAGTCAAAATTAATTAGTTTTTCAAACGAGTCTCGCGTGTTACGTGCCGCAATTTGCGACGAGAAACCAGTGTCCTGCGATACTTTTGTCAGATTTAATTAATAAAATGGAAAATGAAATTCGAAACTCAGAAAAAAAGAAGAATAATAAAAGCACAACCTAATAAAAAAATCACTAATTTCTACTCAACGTAACTTTGTCTACTAAATTCACATTTCCCTAATGTTCGGCCACATCTGCGTTCGCCAGTAAATCCATCTTTTATTCATTCTACGAGATGCTAATTCGTATAAGAATGTCGCTGCACCCCTAACCGCGCGGTTTCGCCCGCCATTATCCCGAATTCGAATGCATCGTTGGCAAAGCGGGCCGCGCGCCCTCGAAATAAATATTCCGCGGATCTGCATTGATATGCTGGGGAAACGAACGTTGCGTAAGCTGTAGCGTGGAGACAAATTACGCGAATTCGTTTTAAAACGCGCCCAGGGGACGTTTTCATCGTTTACGCGTCGCGTTCTTTTTCAATTAGAGCGCGCGTGAGAAGAGCGAGTTAATCAAGAGTGTGAAAGTCACGTTGGCGATCGGATTGTCTTACCTGGAGATAAGGGACGGTTTTGCAGAGAGCCAGACCGAGGAACCACGTCTCAGTGATGTCCCACACCACGGTGAAGGGAAGACAGAGCAGTATCACCAGAAAATCAGCCACCGCCAGGTTCACGATAAAGTAATTCGTGACGGTTCTCATCGTGTGGTTTCTGTACACGGCGATGCAGACGAGCGCGTTCCCCAGCAATCCAGCGACGAAAATAACGCCGTGGGACGCGATCAGCACCCACTCCAGGGCACTCGGGAATATGTAGTCCCATACGCACTCCTTGTACTCTTCGTCCGTGAGGAAATCAAGGTTGCTGCAGTTGGGCATTTTGTAGACTGTTATTTATCGTCGAGGCTGTTGTATGGGATTTCTTCGAAGCTCTGGTCAGATTTAACAAAGGTGGAAAGTAAACAATCACTCCTCGATGCTAGTGCAGGAATTCGATACAAACAATTTCTTCGCTCTGACGCTTTGGCGTAAAGTTCACGTGTTCTAAGAAACAACAGTTTCCAAGTTTAGTAAATTCAAATTATACGTTGATTCTCATGCTCGGTGGACCATATTTTTTGTAGTGTGTTTACTTGCACAGTTTTTTTTTTCAGAAGAGCACTTTTAGGTTTTCCAGAATCAAGACTCAAAGTAAGATCTCTCTGCTCTGTAATCTTCCTCATAGAATGAGTACACAAGCATCTTGAGTGGCACTAACGTTGGCGGCCTGTACTCGGTTCCATACTGAAAGAGCCGAAATGCAGGGCTCGCTTTAACTCGCCATAAATCTGCGAAAATGTATCATAGCCTCGTAAAAAGAGCCAGGATTAAAGGCCAGCCTCCAACATTTAACGTTCCGTTGATAAACGTTGAGAAAAAAAAAAATTGGCTGCGCTCGCAATTTTATTAAACGAACTGTTGACATCACGAGTACCTCTACATGTTTTGCAACATTTAATTTGAGCTCTGACATCAACCTGGAAAGGTACGTGTAATTTGAGTTGTCCGCGCGTATAGAGAGAAAATAAATAGATTAATTCAGGTCTATTAGACCAAGGCCATTGTTGGTAGAACGAACAATTGCAACAATGTGGAAAATACTGTTCCTGAGGGCCTGCAACTTTGCGCCAAAGCGTCGAGGCGAAGAAATGGAGAAGTAAAGAGTGATTATTCACTTTTGTTGTCTGGTTATTTTGAAAATTTCGATGTAGCAAATCGATTCTCTCCGCTGGACTCTGTTTCACGAATCTGTTCAGCTCGCATCCTCTCGATTTCGCCACTTGGAGAAAGTTCCCACGATGAACGTCCCGCAGGACAGAGCGTCGAACGGCCGAACAAAGACGAAAAGATATTCCAGCGTCGCGATGCTCCACCCAGTTGCCAGTTTCTTCGCGCTTCACCAATGTCGTTCACTTCGCTCCAATTTCCATAGCATTACAGCTAATTCTCATCGTCTTTTACCCGTCCGTTCCCCATTGGCGTCACTCGATAACCCGAAGAGTGTCCAGGGATCATCGAGGGCGGCGTCCTTTTTATCCGATTAACGTCGCGGCTCCTCCTCCAGAAAAATTAAGAAAAGAAAAAACAAAACGGTCGTCGGGCCAAGTGGATCGCGAGGCGAGTTCCCAGAGATGTTTTCCAACCCCCTGGTCACGCGACCTCGACGCGTCATATCCAAGAACCCGGAAACTTTGTCCCGTCGTGTAGGAGAGAAAGAAAGTTAGGCTTGGGGAAAGTTTTGGACGCGGCGTGTTGCGATTTCCCAAGTGTCGTCCCGGTTAACGAACTTCCCTCTGACAAATGCTTCGACACTTGACGGCCTAATAAGAGATTATTAGCAATTTGGCCAGGGGTTCTTCTTTATCTGTCACCCTCGAGCCTCGAGTGGCCTGTGGGAGAATGATAAAGGAGGGAGGGTCAAATTTGGGGGAGTTTAGTTTCCTGAAATTTTCACATTGGTTCTCTGCTATAGTGTTATCAGTTCTTTTTCAGATATTAGTAGACGGAGATATGAAGAAGATGCTAAATTGTCTGTAATCTCTTGTAAGGATTTTATATTCCTGGATACTCAGACGATGAAGAACTTTAAAAAATGTGAGCTTCTCCACTATTGCCTTCAGCTATCGAATCGATACATAGAGAAGTTTGTTTCATCTCTTGAAACAAGAAGTGGATGGGTCCACCTCGAAGCAACTCCCTGCGTTTTATCTCGCACCGCTGGAACTTGTGTTCCACCGTTTCGATTTTACTTTGAGCCTCGCTCCTTCGAATTCGCATCGAAGAGTTCCGAATAGAATTCGATTACCTGCGGTGGCGGTATAAAATCGTTTGGGAATCGGTAAAGCGAATTTCGTTGTGGAAGTTAATATTAGAAGCGAACGACTAGCCCCACCGAGTTTATTTTCGAACGTCGCGGCAAGTCGCGGTGAGCGTTAAGGAACGTTGAATGCGAGATTGCGGATTTCCTTTGGTCGCGAGAAACGATAAATACTCGATCGACGCCGAAGGATCTCGAGACGGAGGTAAACTCCAAGATCCTTGGGTAACACTTGGAAAATTGTTTGCCATGCTCTCAGTTGGTTCTGGACATTGGAAACAAAATGATCGATGAGATTCATGCATCCTAAAAGCTTGGAATGAATCATTGAAATTTAAATGCGTATTTGTTAACTACTTCTGAGGACAGCAAAATGGCACACAGAGTGGTCCGTGTTTGTTCATTCGTTTCACACCCGGCTTACGCGCTAACGCGAATCGAAATCGTTTACCCTCGAGAATGACGACTACCGCTTGAACAGAGGATCCCAATGGATTCCAGACCTAATTGAAATTCTCATTATACACGGTTAGAAGTTTACGGTAGCGTCGCGACGGAATTGACGAACCTAACTCGGTAACATGATTGCACGTCTATTAATTGACTGGATCGGCCTCCTGTTCTCCTAAAACTCGTTAATCGACGTTAATGAACCTCACGGGTCGTGGACGGGCGCGAGGGTGTCGTTTGCTTTTGCCGCGGGAAAAAACTCTCGATAAGTAACGTCCTTCAATCTTTTCCCAGCCAACCAGCGGTCAGTTTAATTGTGAAAAACGAAACCCTCAATTATCCAATTAATCTTGCGCGTTTTACCAGAACGCGACCGCGTTGGCACCGACAACCGACCGTTCAATTAATCAAAAAGTTGTCACAACCGTTTCTGTACCTTCCGCATCGCGTTTTACGATTCTCTAGCTGTCCTCGATGTGTTCGTGATGCAGAACTCGCGCGAACCGCATAGGCGATCATACTAAATCGACTGGCCGCTCATGATCCATATTTTTCTTTTTATACGGTGAGATTATACGGTGGATGGTCGTGATTTACAGTTGGTCGATAAAGTATTTGCACGTTAAGTTTTTTGAAGATCCTGTAAAGAAGTGCTATATATTAGTATAACGTACATGTTTTCGTGCTTCTAATACATTTAATTACATTATACCACCCTTATTATCTTACATTACATTCACGGTATATTAATCATTATTATACAATGAATCCAAGTGTTCTGTTGTATTCTGTTACGGTGAACGGTGAATTATTACAATTTTTTAATCAGCATATCCGTTCCGCGCATAAATAAGCATCAAAACGTGTACACCACACCGATATAGTCTTTATTAGCAAACGATTATCTTAAAAAAGCCATTCGTTGGAACATTTTCCTGACCCCATCACCCCAGCGTGTCTACTCGGTCGAAATCTTGAGCAGTGCTACTCGTGCATCGCGCTGCAGCAAGTAGTGGATGTCCGAAATACTTCTGACATGACGTACGCTGTGTTTCCAGCGTCCCTTCCTACGCGTGACGTTTCGTGTGCTATCGCGAAATCCGTCGACTTCCCGTCAACGTCTTTGCGACGACTGCTGGGAGAAAACGGTTAAATTCAATCTATTCCAAGGGAAAACGTGAACATCCGCCAACCCCTTTCCTCCCCCACGAGCCCGAGAAATTTCAGGGAAAGTTGTGTACACAAGACGGTAAAATTCACCGGTAAATCCTTTCACGGAAAACGAGATCGACTCCACCGAAACTGTAAATATCAAAGGTTTTAAGGCGCACACGGTAACGAACGCGAAACAATCTACTGGTGAAATGTTTCGAAATTGAAATTCAAATCCGGATGCGCGTCATAACGAACCGGAGACTAGGGCTGAAAAACTTAATCCGTTACCTCTGGGCTAGAGGCGTCAAACCCTAGCTAAAAGGCGACTCGAACTGTGTGTTTGATAAATTAGTTCCTGCGGGGACCGATTTATGGATTGTGCTCTAGACGACGGCCAACTATCGGCCAACAACGACGGTCTTTTGAATTATAGAGGGACCTGGAAAACTCCCTCGACGATACACCCTTATCAACAAGCGCATCATCGATACAGGGAACGTTCGATTCTGAAATGTAAAGCACGCACAATATCGTGTATTACTCTTATACTGGTGCATTTTACCCCACTCGTTTGATGTCTTCAGATTGCTTCCTCCAAAGGGGAGTCTCCGGTTCATAAAGATAAGTCTGGACCAATTGAAAACTCGGGAGTTGCATGTTCAATTAGATCGCTTCAATTTCACTGGAATCTTTCATAGAGGCGTTTGGAAAACAAAGTCGCGCTTCTTATGTTTGCAGCGCGAAGGTAAACAATAGTAGCGTCTTGGGTGATATTTAAATAAGGTGGGAACAAAGTGGAAACGAAATACTGTTTCATTCCTCGAAGCGTCAATCGCAACTGGAGTCTTTATCTGTGAAATTTCTCTTCATCTTCTCTTCCATTTTCTTCTGGATAGCTTATTTCCTTATTTATTAGAATCAATCAAGACTTAATGAATCGCTTCGAATGCATCAATCAACAGCATTAAAACTAGTGACACAAAACGAACTTCTAATCGAGATATGTCAAACTGACGTCACGTCGCAGTTGATGATGGCATAAACAAATGGAAAATTGAGCATGTTCCAATAGTCTTCTTCGAGTAACTTTGCTAACGCACCACGGATAGCGATCAAATTCTGAAGGGGCTCCACAATTAGACCGAAACGTCGATTACGTGAATCATATTTTTGCTCCCATTGACCGTTTAATAATACACAGAGCGTTCGGAAGGTATTGGAGATTAAAGACGTCCCTCTGTGATCTCTATTAATGAAACACTAGATCATTCTGCGCCCGAGGGATCGGATCGGTTCGAAACAACTATCGTTCACACGCCTCCCTCAATTCCCAACGCAGTCTTTTCTTTTTAAAATCATGACGCTGGTTAAGGAAAGGTTATCGTTTTTTCGCAACACAATTTCGAGGGAATAAGATGGTGGACGGGTCCTGTGATCTTTCTTAACTTTAGTATGCATGAATTCAGTGTGATACATTGTTTAAGAAATATTCGGAATTCAATGCAACGAGCAGTTTGCATGCAAGGTATTGGTTGAAACATAGCAAGGAACAACTAACGAGGTGCGGAAGGAGAGAAGAATTTCAAGTTGATGTTCTATTTTACCATGTTTCACTGAAGGAAGCCCAAATGATCCAAGAAGAAAAAGTGTAAAGCGTCGTGTGTTTCAGAGAAAATAGCTTTTATCAAACCTTCTATCGAACCACAGTAACAACTTTAAAAACTGTACAATGTAAACATTGCAACTCTCAGGGCCATCGTCTTAACATCACAGCGTCCAATGTTTAAGAATCATTTTCCTAATCGTACAAGTATTCCACGAGAACGTTTTTCACTTTGCACGCAGAGAAATTGTCTCATCTCCTACGCGACGCGTTTCCCTCGCTCTGCACCTTGCCCGCGATTTACCAATCTCATCGATGTCGCTTTTCGCTCGTTGGTTTAGATTCGACGTGACTTCCTCGTGGTCACTTTTCCCGCGACTTCTCTTAGAACCATGCCGTCAGATGCGCTCGTCGAACTATCGTTTCTCGTAGAGGAGGAGCATCGTCGCACGGTTCAAGACGCGGATCGCTCGTCGAAGGAGACACCGTGTAAAGTTTCGCGGTGTCGCGGGTCTGTTCTCTGATACGCGTCTCGTGTCTTTCACCAGGGTGTTTCACGTGGTCGAGGACGTGGCTCGACGTCTCGCGGTTCGTCCGTCGCGTCGCGTCGCGTCGTGTCGGGCGAACGTAGGAGGATCCTGGTTCGGAAAAGGGATGTGAACGCGACGACGGACTCTGCGAAACTGAGGTATGTACGCCCGTTTTAACGAGCGCGTAGGTGCAGCGGGCCGGCGATGCCGGGGCCGAGGCACGTTTCGTTTTAAAGTTTCCCTGATTCCCTCGACCACGACGAACCCGACGCGAGTTTCGACCTTTCCTGGGGCTTCGTGATTGCGAAAAGGAAGGAACTATCCACCTTGGTAAATTGGGAGGAACGGAGCATCGTGCAGGTACAGTGCGGGACAAAATGATGGCCCAACGAACATTTTTAGTTATACATATTTAGAGGTATACATAAGAAGGAATGTATTTTGTGCACTTTACATGCACTGCTTCTCTTTTACGTGATATCTTGAATCGATTCCTCTGTCCACGTAATCCATATGTTGGATATGTTTGGTGACATTAAAGATCATGTTGTATCGGTTATTAATAAGCAAACTAGCCTTCGAATCAACAGATGTTAGCAATGACGTTGCGTTCATGCGAATGGTTTTTGTGCGTTATCAAGGCGAGGAAGACTTGTAAGAAACTTTTTATTCGGCTGACCGATAAAAGTCACTGCAACTGGAGCGGACATCTCCCATTTAATTCAATTTATCGAGGTTTACTCCTGGCAATTTATAGGTACCGCAAAATGGTAGCTTTTTCGAGCAAACCAGAGAGCATTTGTTGAAGAACCTGATAAATAGAAGCTCAGGAGCCAGGTCTGGCGTTCACAGTATGAAGAAGAAAAAATTAATACTGCCTCAAACGCCTGTCTCAAACAGCAAAATATTGCAGAGGCTTCTGGAAGGAAGTGCAGGACGTTGAGCCATCTCGAGAAAATGAATTCTGTTTGGTATAAAAACCAACACGTGCTTCAAATCCGTCACCTTCTTTCTTTCCAACACGATGTTGCCCTCGAGGATTCAGATTCCGTGGGCGTAAACTCTGTCCAGCTAGAATTAAATTCCAATCTCTGTTTTTACGAGCTGTCGGTAGTTTACGACGATTTGAGACAAAGCACAGCCCCTGAAGACATTCTACTGTTGCTCGCTGGGGGACACGAGGTCCATCGAATGAAAGTCAATGAAATAGGATCAGATATTTTCATCCAACTGTGAGTGGCCATTGTTCGCAATGGGTTTGCGATAGAAGAAACTGTTGGTGAGATCCTTTCCTTGGGATCTTATATTTTCGATAGCTAGAAAATTGTGAACTTTGAGGTAGCTGACGTATCTGTTCCGAGCGTCGGAGATCCTTCGAAAATAAAAGATCACTGGGAGAAGAGTATTAAATTCCGACAGGAAATACCTTTCACTGATCGCTGTTAGCGCGTATCTCCGTGAGGATGAACATTCGCGAAGGTGTTATCCTCCAGCGAACGAGGAAACTGCCAGTAATTTTCATACAAACTTCTACGGAATATTTACCATACTTTGACATTTTGCAATACTTGCTATACGAATGCAGTTTAATTGCAGAACCCGAGCAAGCGTGGGCTGCGACAAGTTCATCGTTGCCGGGAAGAATGTCTCGTTCCACGAAACAGTTAATATATTCTCCTGTTAAAAAGTCTATAAGTAGAGCCTATAATATCTCCCAGGTAGACGGAGTGTTAATATCTCAAACGAAAAAAACGAATGCACAAAAACTCGCTTTCTTTGAATTTCCAAACACCCGTTAGAGGGTGCAGAGATTCCAGCCGCATACATTCCGTCGTTTAGCTGCGCGTTCATTTATCATTCCAGCGACCGACAATCTTTTCAGAGTCATTCTTTTCGTCTCCATGTCGATGTGTTTATCTTGGTCACTGGCAGTCCGTGGGAAAACTGCCATTTATTTCACCATCCCCTTTGGCCTACGTGCGAACGCATCTTTCACGGCGATAATTACCTCCGCCCTTGTTAAAGTTAATTATCCAAAGTTACTTTCCTGTTGAGGTACACACATAAACGAAGAGAAGGTTTTGAATTTCGTTTGCAAAGTATAACTTGTTCGTCGTAGCAAATAGATTAAGACTTACATTACTTATAACAAAACCAACAGATTTTCGTTACTCGAGGCTACCGAGCAACCCTTATCGCCATTTGCATGAAGATGCTCGACTCTACCTATCGCATCCAATTCGTTTTGGGATAAGTTTAAGAAAGACTCCTATAGATAGAGAAATGTTACACCACGTGTGCCTTCTACTTGTCCAACTTGCTACACTTTCATTATTGCAAGGATGTTCATCCGCGTTTTTCTTCAATAATCAAAGTTGTTGGTGTAAGGACGAATAAGGTGAACGTTGGTAACGGTGAATGAAAGTTCGAAGCACTTGAGATCCTTTCAACGAGGCTCTTTTATGCATACACCACGGGATCTTCTCGAAATAAAAGGGGGGAATGTAACAGTATTATTTTCTTTTTTATCGTCGCTGCGAAATGCTCGAAGTGAATGCACAGATTATTTTGAAACTAGCACTTCACTGTCGAAGCTGCATGCTGTGATTATACGTTCGCGAGGGAAATATAAATGCAGACGAAACGAACGATCGATCGTCGCTTCTCCGCAAAAGTGGCTGGCGATGTTTGGATCGTTCAACGGCGCGCGACCTACGGAAAAGTCGCGCGTCCCATGATTAATGAGCACAAAGCAAACTGTTCCGTTTTGTGTGAATACGCGGCGAGCCGCGAGCGTACAACAAATTGATACTGTTCCTTATGTCGTTCGATATTTTTCTGCGGGTCGTTCATTGCCGTTTCAATGCGGCTTGGTGCCGCACGAGCGCTGGAAAATACGCGTTTACATCCTTATCTAGAAACTAGAGTTCAAAAGACTATACTGACGATTCTTTTCGCTATTAATGTACAATAATCTCTTACGGGGCAAGTTTTACGAGTTCAGAAGTCTTCGCCAGCTGGAGGGCCTCCAGAGATTAACCCTCAGGCTACTATAAATATTATAATACTTACGCGAAAGGCAAACGGATAACGCAATTATTTACACGCGAGCTTCGAGAAAAAGTTTCAAGTTTTATACATATAACATTTATATTATTACTAGTAGTACAAGAAAATATTCTACAGGTCCTAATCGGTCGTTTGGACTAGGAAACTACCACCGACGACTTCGATATCGCCTGAGGGTACTAGATATAGGTCACAGTGCAATTGGAGCGACTATTTTTTTGAATGAAATGGCGACATTTTTTTTTACGAGTACGTTACACAAGACTACATTTTTTAGGAGATTTCCACAGCTCAGCATCGTATTTCAACGAGTAAATTTCACCCTTTACTTTTCGTTCTCACGTCCTTAATAGGAAAGAAAATTCTCGCTATAGTAGAAAATAAGCGACTCGAGATTCTCTTCAACTACAAACGCGCCTGGGCTAATTTAGTTGTTTTGCATTAACAGCTAACTGGTAGCGACATCTGTAGAATAATAATGTAATCGACTAGTACGCGTTACGTGGATAATTGTAAGGAAATTTGTGTACATTAGAAAAGGATAGCGTGGTTTATAAAAAGAGTAATTTATTGACAAGGATATATAAAATTAATGTTCTTTTATTGCTAATGAACATTATATTTACAGTGGAAGAAATGTCTAGTTATCACAGCTGTAATGACATTGTAAATACTAAAATTACGCGACTACACGAATAACGGGATCTTGAACTAGAATCTAATTAATGCGGTTGTAATACTTATCACGACTTTTGATATTTCACAGGTGTGCGTTACCTGGATTATCACACGCAGTTCGAGTTACTAAAAAAATATTTTTAAAGAGATTGAAAATAAGTTTCTATACTTTGTTGTCAACAACCATGTACTGACGATAAATTGTTGTGTATATGTATATGTATTATCCTTAATATAACTGACGTCTTCTTATTTTTTATCGTTTTCGGGCGTCCACTTCTATTAAGATAACGAGGCACTTGATTAAGATTGAAATCATAGAAATACTTTAAAAGCACATTCACAAACAATTCAAACAACATATTCATTTTATAATATCCTTTTTTTCCATCTTAATAACTTTATAGGCCGAGTACAAATTATCATCACCCGATAGTAGCAACTTCGCCGTGATCACTTTCTGACAATAAAACTACTTTATCGTCTCTTCCCAAGTTGGTTCGAATGGTTAGGAAAAAACCAATAAAAATTAGTAAAATACCAATAGCAGCGATACCGAAGCACGTTATACTACCCAAAGACTGTAGGATTATGACAAATTTCACTTTACTAGCATAATCAGAAGTCAAATAAGCTTCTTGTGTGAACCATAACATTGGGACAAATGTACTCTTGATGTTCTTGAACATGCTGAAATTAAATTTAAAATTCGTTCATGGTTTTGGAATCCTTTTTCATAAAAGCAAAGTACTTACCTCATAGATTTGTCGGTTTGAAGTAACAAATTTAATTGTAACTGTGCATTCACTTTCAAGGGAACACCAGTTTTCTACAAAAATTAATAGCAATAATACAACGTAGTTCGTTTATCAGCTGTTACGTATTATCGAGAGATAATTACCGGTTCTAGGGATATCGAGAGTTCGTGTTTCTTTTTATTAGGTTCCATTCCTTCGATGTTTTCCCTATAACTCGGGTCCGCCAGATAAAAATGTGGTAAACTAATAAACGCCGGCGCACCCCATTTACACAACGAAATGTTCAAGGCTCCACTTGGTATGCATTCTTTGTGCCGTTCGCTCTCGCAGTAACACTTTCGCCATGGTACTTTTGTGCCATTATCGAAAATCGTATCGTCGCTGACATATGTAACGCCCGATAAACCTTCTTGTACCGTTGTATTTTCGTATGACACTGTTATGCTCCTGTTCCATAAACAACCAAAATTTCAAGGATTAAAATGCACATCTGATCTCTTAGATTTTCTACATTTTCAAAAAAAAAAAAAAAAAAAAAAAAAACTGCACTCACGTGCAAATATCAGACACAAAGAACGAAACAGTTTTGTTATCCGGCAATGGTGGCCACAAATCACCGTTTGTTCCTTTGACTTCTCCACATTCATCAGGATAATAACTAACTTTATTTACGAAATTCCAATTCTTCAGCACTCCTATTTCAAGAATATTGGATGCACCAGTCTGCATGTTGAATGTTCCATCGTATGTCGCGGAATCATTTCTCTGAAAATGTTAATATACACTTAACTAAATGTTTTAAATAGAACTTTTATGTTTGTGAACTTTCTTCCAGAATATTAGTACAAACATAAAGCTCACCCCATAAAACCAAGCAAATTTGTCCATTGGAATCTTTGTGACATTCAGTTTTCGAGCAATTTTTAGCATAGTATCATCATAGCCCTCAAAGAGCAACTCATTAACAGTCTTGGTGATTACTAATTTTTCATTTACTGCACTCATTGCTCTATCTACCAGATCGCGAACCACTGATTTTTGAAATCTCAATGTGTATGCAACACTCTAGAAAAAATTAACAATAAAAACATATTATTCCATGTATGAAATATTAACAAAGAAACACATACAGCAGCTATTGGGTTTATGTTAGTCACGTTATCAGACAATTTCCCTTTTGACAAAGACTCATCAAAATGCCATACTCTTTTCCTTTGATATGTTATAGTACTATTTTCATTCCATACTAGTTGCACCTTGTAATCAACTTCTCTGTAACAAGTAATTTTTGTTTGTGAGAGTATCAATAACATTCACAGGACTTAATGTAAATACTATACCTAAATACATAAGGACCCATCTCTTCAAATTTAGGCTTTGTTCCATTAGGTGAGATCAATGCTTCTGGATTAGTCAAATTGAACATATAGAGCTTCAAATACATAGGGATTGGAGTCTGTTTCCAAAGTTCATAGTTTTGAGATGTTGGTGTCAGTGGCAGTTGCTGAGACAAGATACATACAATAATTAGGCACCAGTTAGATATTCTTGAAAACATTGCTTTTGTACTCACTGTTTCTAAGATTGCTGCATAAATTGTAGACCAAAGTATTCCTATTGTCAATCCGAAAATTGTTATCACTGCACCTACTGAGAGTATGATAATAATTTTCACCCGGTCTTTCATGATTATATTTCAAACTTTTGCCTGAAAAAAATTGAATGAAATACGTTAAGTGCTTATTTAGGTGATATTTCTTTCTTCAAATGGTATTTCTCAGAGAATATACTAAAATTGAGTACATACATCACAGAGTCACCAAGTTTTCTAAAGGTACCATTGAAAGTTTATACAATTTGTTCTCCTCTAATAAGTTCACATAATGTAACCTTAATAGTACAACTTGTAAACAGTTAAACAAAGTGTATCTAATACTGGCAAGCATGAAATTACATTAGTGATATATCCAAACTTAAATACATGATTCGGTCGAGTGTCATCAGAGGTATGAAATGGTATGCAACACAGGTGGAACAAGGTCAAGAGTTTACGTTCACGCGATTATAATGTAACATCGAGTATATCAGAGATCATCATCGTTGAAACAACGAAAATCATCGTAAACAATTGAAAGCATGGGAAACATTGTAGGTATTTCATTCAGCTTGCAATTAACGGCATAAATTAATAGGAAACAATCTACTCGAAAAGGAAAAAATTATTTGTAAACACTTTCACGAATGACGAGATACACACATCTCCCACGTGCTTCTGCGCGTTACGCTAGCATGTAGGCGCGAATTTTTAAATTCATTGTCAGAGCAATTAGACATTTGATATTTCATTCTTTATATTGTTTAATCGAGGATAGTTTTAGATGAATTTAAATTATGTTTTTGTAATTTGTTTAGTCAAGGAGGCATATCTTCAAGGTTCAAAAAGCGGTAATTCCAAAACTCCAAAATACTTGACAAGAATACCATCTTGAATCTCTCGTTATACAGATAGATTGTCTATCGATTAATTTTAACTAATCCCTGAGCAGCGTCGTGAAATGCATACCAGCAATCACAATATGATTGATAATTGTACATCGAAGTAAATAGCCACGTTATCTTCATCGATAATGGATTTCGTTCGATTTTCATTCGACATTGGAGTTTAATGTATTAACAATGCAGTTGTACTACTTTTGATCGTGTATCAATTGTGTAATCGCTTAAGCACATTAGATGAACTCTAATCGGATGATTTAGTGAATCATTTCAAGAGATAAACAAACTGCAACTTGACACTCTATGAGAGCAGGCAGTAAGAGCGAATCGAGAAAACGAAATAAAAAGTAAAGAGTTCGAGACTGGTACAATGTTGTTCGTTATCGCGTTACGAACAAAGTTCAAAAGCTCGTCGGACATATGGTCGCTTAATCACGGAATTTGTGATACAAAATGTTTAAAAATTAATAGTTCTTCCCTGTGTCATATTGTCCGCAAATACATTTATCTATAGAGAGTTGCGGAGACTCGTTGAAAATACCATTCCTACCGTATCAGCGTAATTGTACGTTTATTTTTCGTGTTATATCAGTTAACAAGTGACTAAGGCATTGCAGAAATGTATATTAATGAGCTCGAAAATATTAAGTGAATCGCACGATATTTTCTTGATTCATCATTTCAAACGGAACAGAATAAAACATGAGAAACTGATGATTTCATAGCTCTCGTTCATCTCATACTGAGTAATCAATCCATTTACGTAGAACTCGTCACAAATGAGAATGTGTCGGTCGTTTATCATTATTTATACATATGTGCACGGTTGCCTCTTACAAATTCATGCTTGTATATTTATCGAAAAGGTCGAGAACGCTGGTTTACCTTTGCATACCATGTTTTCGAAAGACAGAAAATATAATAATGTTTGTCGTGATTTTTATTATCTTTGCACGTCGTTTCGCGGCGTAAGGGAAAACGATATTTTATTGGAATGGCATTGAAACGAAGAGTGCTTACCCATCGAGGCATAATTATGTGGAAACATCGGTGAAAGTTGAGAGAAAGATCGGCATGTGCGAGAAATGCGTATCTTGCAAACCGGAAAAGAAACGCGCTCTCTTCGGGCAGAAAAGTCAGTGACTCTTTGACTGCACTTTACGATTGCAACGCGATTTAATCAGAATTAAATACGTGCAACGCATTTTTATTTATTTTATTTGACCTGTTTATTTACCGTATTAGCTGATCATCGTTTGCGTTATAAAATAGCAGGTTAATTTTGTTATATACATATAATGATAACTGAGGCGAGTGAACATTAGAAACACTTTTACTTTTTTTTTTAATTCCTTGTAGAAGATATTATGCAATGCTTCTCTGGAAGCACAAGCAGATAAACTATTGGTGTACCTCGTTGAAAAAAAAAATTTAATATACTAGTTTGCTTCAAGTTATTTTTAGGCTTTGGTATCGGTAAACAATCAAAACATCCATGAAAGAGCAAAATTACAGGAATATCTACCCTTGCAGATTTATTTATACGTACAGATATTGAAAACAAAAATAGGATATACATAGGTACAAAAATATTGGATTTATTTGTCATTAATCGTGCATTATGTTGAAGCATGCCAATAGCGAACGATGGTAATGATGTTCATGCGCAGGGGTTCTATCTATTATTTTTTCAATTATTCGAAGACTATTTCTCTTAAAATGGTCGCTTGCAGCTCGTCCTTTGATTAATTCTATTAAAAAAAATTAAGAACGCGCGCAAAGGTAGAAATACAAACGCAAATCCATCCGATCGAAGTAGCCGCTCGCGTGAATTGAGTTGTATCTTTTTAATTACAAACCTGGCTAGATGATCCTCATTGGAAGACCAGTCGTAGTTCGTTGTCCTTGTCGACACGTTATCACTGGTCATGGAACGATGTTAAGTGATTGAAATGCACGCAAACGATTCTGTCACGACCAATGATAACGTAAACGCGAAAGATTCACAACGACTGGCCTGCGCGAACCTTCGCGGCTCGCTAAAACAAGACCTACCGCGATATTGCATAGAGTGGAGGGATCGGTAGGTGGTGGAGGAACGTATTTGTTAATGCATGCGAATACAGGCTACCCTTTTTATCAATTCCGTTGAGAATCTGGAAAACGACTAGGATCATGATAACGATCGCTATCATCTTCACTATTTTTAAAATCTGAAACTGTTGGCCGTGAGATCAACAGAAAAACAAACGTGCCTTCTTAGGATGCAAACATTCCAATGGAATGTTGCATGGAATGCAACTCTCTTGAACTGTGCTCCTGTGAGATAATTTGATTGAAGAAAACCGATTAAGGGTCTTCTTTGAAACAAGGATGAGTTAGTTACCAAGAAAATCAGGCACGAGTGAATTTTTGTTGCGATGCTAAGAGTAAATTTAAAATTAGGAAGGAAACTCTGAAAGATTCAGAAAGAAGTACAAAAGTTTGTTCACTTATTGCATTTTATTCATCGCGATTCCATTGTGAAAAATATATGACTGAGCAATCAATTTTTGCAAGTAAAATCTGCGTCTGTGCGTACAAATTGTACGATGACGATGCAGGAGACAAATGCTATATTGGACCCTTATTAACAATGATCGATAATTATAACTCATACCAAACAGTGCATCAAACGTACGCGCGGATAGTAAAAAGGTAATACAAATACTGATACGTTTCGATAGAGACAAATTTCGTGTTTGATAATGTTAATCGTTTTACTCTACGGTAGGAACGATAGTAAAAACTTCAAGTTATCGCGATACTGTTCGTATTGTTCATATCTTCTTGTAACTGTGTACGATCTCGTATTCTCGCACACATTAGACTGTATTCTAATACTCCGATTCTAACATTCATTTCGGAGATTTCATTTTTCATTTTGGTAATCGTCTTTTTTATATTTATAAGCGGAGCTGCAAACAAGTAAATATTATATTATTTATGTATTACGAGACATTTTGAAACACTTACTTCCGTCTGTCATGCTCGATCCTCTTTCATCCATTTCTTTTTTCACGTGTTCTAATTCCTCTGACATTTTATTAAAAACTCTTGTTCTTTCCGTTACACCCCCGCTAACATCGCGATATTGCTCTTTAATTTTCGACAATTCTTCTTGAAGTGTTTGGTACTCTTTTAAGATAGGTTCAAGTTGTCTATTTAAATACGATTCTCTTGTTTTTATTTTATCCAGAGTATTTGATATATCAATATGTAACTTATCTAATTGACTTTTAGTTCCAGTAAGATTTGTTGATATATTTGTATGGAATTGCTTCATTTGATCTATGTGCGATCTCCAGTCTCTTGAATCTAGAATTAATTTTTATATTTTCAATTTTTGTTGTTAAATTTCTTTTGTAAACTTTTAGTAAATAATCTGTACCTGTTTTGACTGTTACTTTTAATTGAGGTAAAACTCTTTCCAGTTCCAACTGCCACTCCTCTCTGTTTGTTTTAGATTGCAAAATATCATCAAGTTTTTGTGATTCATTCTAGAAATAATTGTTGAGTATTTATACACATGGTTTCCATATTTTATATACTTCCACATAGAATTTTTACTCACAAAATTCTGCCCGTAAAGTTTTGTAATATCATCAACATGTAAAACATCTTCATCCTCTTCGTCATATTCAGCCATCATTTCTTCTTCCACTTTTTCCAAAATTAATTCTGCATCATCCTCCTCTATTTCTGGTTCGTTACTTGGTTCATCAGGTGGTATTTCTACTCTGAAAATATTAATTTATGGAAGAATATTGTTATAACTTTTATAAATGTAATTTATGAAATTTACTTTTTCCACTGAAATTTTTGTATCTTCAGTGCTTCATCTGCTAAATTATCCAAAACATAAATAGCATGCTCTCCACTGCCTTGCTTGAGTTTATTAGGTGGAAATTCAACAGATACATTAAGGTCTCTCAAATGATCTAATATTATAGCTATCGTGGAATTAGGATCATCAGACTCTTGAGGAGGCTCGAAACTTCTGCCTGCTTTCCTGATTAACCACGCAGCTAAAGATGTAAAAGTATAAAATTGTTCTCCTGGATTTGTCTGCATTACAAAATAATTCCTAAACAAATACATTATTAACATGTATTCATAGAACATGAATTTGAAAATCTTATCTATAGTCATTGTATCTACCTATTTATAGCTTTTATTTTAAATTCTGATAAGAATTCTGTATCATAATTTAACAACTTCAACTTCTCTAATAAATCTTCCATTCTGATATACATAACATAGGAAGCAGATGGGGAAGATCCATCTTCTATAACAATCTTTGGTGTGTCTCGAAACATTTCTGTAACGGTGATGGTATTCCATGATTATACGTGCCAGTGCAAGTAACAAATATAAGTAAATGCAAACTATATTTTTAGTTGACGAAGTTATATATATATTACCTTTTGCTTTGTACTATTTCTGGTAAGGTTCATATATACATGTACAATTTATTTACATCTGTAAGTACAACGCAAAATCTAGTGTATTAAGTGACATGTTGCGAATGTTCATTTTAATTATATAAAATTCATGCTCAAACAACATCGATCTCTTCGATCGTGCAACATATATACAGCCATTACAAACAGTTTTTCTGTTTATGTTACCGATTACTAGGGATATTTGTATCCAGTTCGTATAAAGTTTTTACTCCGATATATAACTTCGTAATCATTCCGAATAGTTGGCAGCATCGTGAGTTGTTCATTTTGTTGATTTTGACAATCGGTCACATTCAGTTTTCCGTCAGGATTATTAACATTCATACGTGCAAAGCATTGTAATTGTATCGATTCACAAAGAAAACACTTATGAATTATCAGATTCGATCCTAATGTAATTTAACATTCATATATCTGATAGATTATTAGAATGTGTCTATTATCCGAGCCGTTGTTGTTCGTACTAGCTTTATTCGACACCGGTTCGGTACTTTTCGTTCTGGTGTATTTCGTATCCTTTTACGTCCCATACTCAAATTACAATTTACGTAGTTGCTTTTATTTTATCTACTTAACTCTGTTATTCGATCGACGAAACCAAAATGCATTATTAGAAAAATGTATCTAGGGATTTTGGTGGTATAACGTTTGTTTTTGTGGTGATAAGATAGCAATAGCGCCATATTTAAACTACGAGAGGAGATACTTAACACTTTACTAATGATTAACAGTTGCAGTTACTTTCCTTACCTTTACTATACAGGTTATAACTTTATCAGATTTAGAATGTGACTATTTGAATGCTCAACAGTGTTGTTCGAATTTAAACTCGGTAATTTCGATGTATTTTTATCAGTTTAACAAGTAGGAATGAATCACTTGTATCAGTTCTCAAATTCATGTATATATAATTTTACAGTGGGTGGTACCAAAGCTCGTAGCACATACATTCTTAGAAATCTTATTATTAACTCATGGTCAATTGATATTGTGCTTGGTAAATTTGCCAATGACTCTGTGGTTACTGTTTGAATATTTTGGAGTACCCAGTGGTAACATGGGAGTTTATGATCCCACAGAGATTCACAATCGTGGGCAATTGAAGAGGCACACAAGAGATTGCATGATTTATCTTGGATACTATCTTATATTCTTTTTTATTTATCTGTATTGGTAAGTACATCATAAGCGTGTGAGTCAAAATGAGAAACTAATGACTATTGCCACTCCTTTTCACGTTTCAGCATGATCATTGCATTATTAAAAGGAGATCCGATCAATAGGAATGAAGCAGATATGATTGAGACAAATATGTGATAATACTACCAATAATATTTAAATTTTGATATGCTTAAGTTTTTTAAGTTAGTTAGTCACTTTTGACTGTTTATTTATTTTTACGTCACCAATGCCAAATGGAACTTTGTTAAGATGTGTATAAAAAGAAATTACACCGTACAATCACGTTTATTTGAAACTCATATCATATCTCTAAGAATAGAGACTCCATGACTACAAGACTTCCAAGAGTTTGTAGAGCATTTTATGTCAATTCACGTGTAATTATGTATTCATATTATAGATTGTAAGTGCGCGAAACGAACATCAGTTTTGTAGTTACAAACGCCTAGACAACACAGAAATTGTAAAAAAAAAAATTACAAACACGATGCTAGTTGTCTAATATTATTACAAACCCCATATTACATACATCCAATATAAAAGATCGTAATTCTTAATATGATTTTTTATACAATAAATAGGTTAAAATCTTAAATATCGCGGCATCGTCGAGGTTCAGTAAAGTACTCAATGGCTCGTTTATTCATTGCGCGTTAAATCAAATTGACTCGTGCGGGACAATATTGGATCGATTTAATGAACTCGGTGCAGTTGATTAGTTTTTTCTGCGTGTGTAGGGTGTATGTTTATTTTTAGCCAAGACCAACATTAGATAGCGACAAAGTAATGCGATCAGACTTATAAATCTCCAATGGGGTGCAGATCGAAATCGTTCATTTTCGCGCCAGTAAAGGATATCAAATATTAATTATTGCTTTACTTGTGCACTCTCCTTTGTATTCGTTAACAATTTTTAGATTTTCGGGAGTAGGGGATTGATTTCATAGTGTATTCCATATACAGTGTTAAATCTTTATTACTCGTGTACTCTTGTTTTTAATCGTTTACAATTTGGGAGTCGTAGTGTTTGACTTAATTTTCAGCTTTTGTAAATTGTTTATCGGGAGTAGAGAAGTTCCTAGACACAATGTAATCAATCTACTGTTCAAAACTTGTCACGGTACATTGTGTACTGATAAGTCCCCACTCCGTTAATACTTTTCAAACACCTAACATTCCGATAAGCTACTTCCCGAGATACGAAGCAAAACAGAGGTCCTTCCTAGAAATGGGAAAAAAAACTGCGTAGCGAGTTTACATTTCGATCAACAGCCTTCCTCTCTGTTGTGTTCAATATCACAGCTGATGAAAGTAGAGATGTGATAAATACGCGACGTATAAAATGCGGGCTCGAATTCTCTGAATTACGTTCCGAGATCGTGGTAAACATAACGAAAACATTCGAAAGAAAAGTTGGCGTTGTCGATACCGTTGCGCGCGATTAAACGTAAAGGAAAAATAGTCGCGATAAACCACGTCGATCAGAATAGAAGATCGTTAGGCGTGAATTCATTGAATATCAGGGTTCGTCGCGTTAAAATCAATTTGAAAGCGACCAGGCGCACGTGTAGTGCGTTCTGGCATGATCTGCTGGCGGCTTTGATAACACACAGAGTAGCGCCTCCTGGCGACCAGGGTAAACGGGGTAAACGGGTGACGGATGACGGGCAACGGGTGGCCGTGCTCGGATCTGCTCGGATCGTGTTCGGTAGGGCGCGCGGAAGGATGCTTTTCTGGACCAAGAAGTGAGTGCGCGAGTGCTCGCGGGTACGAAAACTTTCGCGGTGCATATTAATTGCGAGAATACTCGTTGCGGTACCAAAGTAAACGTGTCGCTTCTCGTCCGCTTCTCTCTCTGCTCTCTGGCTTTGTGTTACGTTGACAGTGCTTCAGGAGTCCCGTGACTGTTGTTTTTCTTTCGAGACCGTTCGATCAAACCGGACTTGCCACTGACGGTGGTCGATGTGCACCGAAAACACGACGTGTCTCTCGTCGATACTCGCGACACGTTACCCGCCAGAAATTCCCGATGACGGCGACGATGACGACGTCGTCGTCGAGACACGCGCGCGTCTTTTGTCATGGATGATCGAACAACAGCACCTGTCGAGGTAAAGTGGTTCACGAGGTGCCCCTAATGCTTAACAGGTTCTCGATGAGGCTTACGTCGACGTCGCCGTCGCCGCCGTCGTCGTCGTCGTCGTCACCGTTGTTTTCGCCGTCGTCGTTGCCACTGTTCCTACCATCGTCACCGCCGCTATTGTTGTCGTTGCTGGTGCCATCGCCGCTGTCGACGACGTCGTCGTCGTTCCATTCGCCGCTGTCATCTTCGTTGTGGTTACCAACGTGCTTGTTATTGTTGATATCGGCGTAAATAGGCTGCACCGCTTGCCATTGCCTCTACGTTAGTCTGCTCGCGGTATCGTTAAGGATGGCAGGTAACAAGGCTACAGGTAGCGTCCTGCAATTCAGACCTGTCGAGGTCTCTCAGCAGTTGCAGGATGGAGAAAAATTTGTCAAGTGGGACGAGGTAAGATTTTATAGCGTGGCTAGTTTTTATTCTGTAAGATGCATCATTATGTTGGATATGGTATTGTTGCACAGGACTCCGGTATAGCTACTCCTGTAACATTGAGAGTAGACAAGCTTGGATTTTACCTGCACTGGGTAGATCAGCACAATGAAATGGAAATGTTGGATATTGCTATAATAAGGGATACTCGAACTGGAAAATATGCTAAAGTACCAAAGGTATTTAATTATGTTTATCATGTGCACGATTGAGCTACCAGAGAAGCCAGTAGAATGTTTCTTTAGCTCTGTGTATTACTACACAATGGATGTAATTGTTTAGAACCATAGGTGTCTTGGCTTTCTATAATTATATCATGCTTTTGCGTGGATGCTAAGGACGCAATGCACCACCATCGCATGATAATTATTGACAAATCTATTAATAGAATATTACCTACTTTACATCCTCGATGTAGTGCACTTTTTCTCAGTCACACTATCTTTGTACACAATAGAAATAATCGTTGCATAGAAAGGAGAGCAAATTCTTATCTGCCCACTTTCCTATAAATCAATATGCAGTTTACAAAGTAGCTTAGCATATAGTTTCAATAGCTTATTGTAGTATAAGCTATTGTTTCTAACATAATGTGAGATCATTATATTGACGCTTGGTAGTTAGGTGTTGGAGGAGAACTTATTTGAACAAAGGAATGGTTTTCAGGATCCTAAATTGAAATCTCTGGTGACGATGGGCTCTCAAGACTCTTTAGAGGAAAAGACAGTAACAATTTGTTATGGATCTGATTTTGTCAACATGAATTTCATCAACTTTTGTACGACACGCGCGGAAATCGCTCAGCATTGGACAGAGCAAATTTTTCAGCTTGCGTATAATTTAACACTGCTCAATACCAGCACAACCATGTTCTTGCAGAAAGCACACACCAAACTTACACTTACAGCAGATAAATCGGAAAAGATTCCTGTGAAGAAGTGAGCACAGTTTGTATAAAATTAATATACGCGTATACAGAATCGTATATACTTTATATATTGTTATTTCAGCATAATAAAAATGTTTGCACAAAATAAAGATGATCGTAAGCGTGTCGAGAAAGCACTGGATATTTCGGGTTTTCCATCTGGAAAAGTGAGTGCGATCTCTCGTAAACGATCTCGTTTAATGTAAACGTTACACTCGTATGCTGTACGATCTTATTCCTTTATTTTTAGAATGACGTAATATCGTTGCAAAAATTTCAATTCGAAGACTTCTTCAACTTTTATAAGTCACTTACTCAGCGGTCGGACGTTGAGAAAGTTTTCGAAAGCATCGTAGGCAATAACAAACGTAGATTAATGTCCGTTACACAGTTTGTTGACTTTTTGAACAAAACGCAAAGGGATCCACGCCTGAACGAAATATTGTATCCGTACGCAAACGAGGCGAGAGCAAAAGATATTATAAGTCAATACGAACCAAATAAATGTAATGCGAATCGAGGCCAGTTGAGTTTCGATGGTTTCCTGAGGTACTTGATGAGCGAGGATAATCCAATCGTTGCTGTCACAAAACTCGAATTATCGGATGATATGGACCAACCGCTTGCGCATTACTTCATAAATTCTAGTCACAATACATACTTAACAGGTCTGTAGCTTCCCTGATCTTGTTCATTAGACAAGGTACACTTAAATCGAGGCATGCTCAACGCAACGTTTCTCTAATATATTTATAGGGCATCAAATCACCGGAAAGAGTTCCGTAGAAATATATCGTCAATGTTTGCTCGCCGGCTGTCGATGCGTGGAATTGGATTTTTGGAATGGAAAATTTGACGAACCCGTCATTGTTCATGGGTACCAGCTTTACGAGAGAATCTTTGTTTCGATATATGTAAATTTATTCGACTGCTTGTATAGGTCTTCGTAACGTCTTTTTCAGATATACATTTGTACCTGAAATTTATGCGCGAGACGTAATCGAAGCGATTGCCGAAAGCGCTTTCAAAACGTCGGAATATCCTGTCATTCTTAGCTTTGAAAATCATTGTAATCCAAGGCAGCAAGCTAAAATAGCTCAGTATTGCAGAGAATTGTTCGGTGAAATGTTACTCGACGCACCACTTGAATCTCATCAGGTATTTTCCAATACGGCAATGACTATTTATCGTCGTCCAGTTTACAAACTGAAAATTGTTCATTGTTCAGTTGGAGCCTGGTCAAGAATTACCACCTCCCAATTTGCTGAAACGTAAGATTATAATTAAGAATAAAAAGAAGCACCATCATCATCACAAGAAGCACAAAAAGAAGCAGCAAACGCCAGCAGCGGACTCCGAGGAGGGAGCTGAAGAAAACGAAGACAACGGTGTAGTAAATCAAGCTGCTGAAGGTGAAAACGGTCCAGCGGACGTTCCCAACGCTGAAGATGAGAATAACGATCAGCAAATCGGGAACGGAGATATCTCGCATCCCCCGATGTTGCAACAACGACAGGGCAGCAAAGACAGTGCTCAAGATGACGATGGTTAGTATCCAATCGATAAACGGGCGTAAACGTGAACGAAGGATTAAAAATATATACGATTTTAGAAGACGAAGAGGAATCGAGCACAGAAGAGGAGGAATCGAATGTCGAGGATATCAAATTAAGAATGGGGGATAAAGTGCCTGCGCCTGATAAAGCAGCTAGTGCTAAAGAAACGGAAGCTGGAGCGGAGATTTCAGCATTAGTCAATTACGTGCAGCCTGTTCATTTTTACAGTTTCGAGTCGGCCGAAAGTACGTTCACGATATTAATTATTAATCTTTTTCTTCTCTACATTACCCTTAATCTCCTCTACATCTGCAGAAAAAAATCGTATGTACGAGATGTCGTCATTCGACGAGAAACAAGCTACGACTCTATTAAAGGAAAGGCCATTAGAATTTGTAAATTACAACAAGCATCAGTTGTCCAGAGTATATCCAGCAGGCACACGTTTTGACTCCAGTAACTTTATGCCCCAAGTATTTTGGAATGCAGGCTGTCAGCTGGTCGCATTAAATTATCAAACGCTCGGTACGACCGCGTTTATATCGATTTCATTCTTATCAAGTGTTGCGTGGGCGGTTATCGTTTTAACTTGGTTTTTTAGATCTCGCGATGCAATTGAACTTGGGTACTTTCGAGTACAATCAGCGTTGCGGATACCTTTTGAAACCGGAATTTATGAGAAGGCGAGATCGACGATTGGATCCGTTCGCTGAATCGACAGTAGACGGTATCATAGCTGGTACGGTTCACATACATGTGATATCAGCTCAGTTTTTAACTGACAAAAGAGTGGGTACTTACGTCGAGGTAGACATGTACGGTTTACCAGCTGACACAGTGAGAAAGAAATTCCGCACGAAAATTGTTCCGAACAATGGCATCAATCCTGTATACGACGAAGAACCCTTCGTATTTAAAAAGGTGAGAAAGAAATAAAACACTCTTTCAAAAAATAAAACACTCCCGTAACAAAGTCTCGTTCGTGTGTCGATTCAGGTAGTGTTACCTGAACTCGCAGCGATCAGGATCGCCGCGTACGAGGAGTCGGGACGTTTGATCGGTCACAGGGTGGTGCCAGTAGTTGGTTTGTGTCCAGGATATCGACACGTTGCACTCAGAACAGAGTGCGGCCAACCGTTGCCGTTGGCAAGCCTGTTTCTACACGTTATAGTAAAGGACTACGTTCCAGACGGTTTGAGCGAACTCGCTGAAGCCCTGTCGAATCCGATTAAATATCAAAGTGAAGTTGATAAAAGGGAAAAGCAATTGTCTGTTCTTACGGATTGCTTGGAAGACCCGTCGGAAGAAGTTGATGTAAGGTTTGAAACGTTGCGAATTTATTTACTAACTGTGTGACATATGCTAATAGCCGCGTACTAACATTTCTAGGATAAGCCGAAAATTAGCGAAGGAGCAAGTTCCTCTAAGCCGCCTGTAAGTTCGTCAGTTGACGGTCGTTAACTGATGCGACAAAATTTATATTGACGTGTCTTTAACAATTTTAAATTTTAGGAGGAAACTGTTAAAGCGAAGAGGTTGCAATCCGTGGGCGAATTGCCATTGCTTGCTCCAACTTCTACCAACGTGCATGGTAGACCATCGATTGCAGGCTTGAATACTTCCGATACTCAAGAAGCTGAAGAGGGAGCGCCAACCCCCACGGCTCCAGTAGTAGATTCTTCTGCGAATAAAAGCCCAGTTAACGCCAGCAGCGGTTAGTGTCTTGGCTTTGACAATTAAACAAGTCTTATCATTGAACGTTGGATCCTATATTGTACTTGTAGCGAGCGACGAGATAGTGGCGGAATCTCTAGAGAAATTAATGGAGAACAAGCTCGTCAGAGAGAAGAAGATGGAGCTGGAGAAGAAGCTCGAATCACTACGGAAGAAGCACGAAAAAGAGAAGATGAGGGTTCAGTCGCAGAAGGGCTCCATCGACGGTGAAAAGCACAAGTCGAAATTTTACGTGAGTCATAAACTGGTGAAGCGACTGTCGAGCAGAAATATGTAAGTCAACCTTTATCGAAGGGACCTCGCGGTGTGCTTGTTGCTTATACATTTATGATTTCCGCGTAGCTTCTCCAGCGAAGTGGGTTTGAGTACGTTAGCTCTGGCGGAGACGTCCGAGTGTCCAGATCTGGAGAACCGCGAAGGAAACGGGGGAGCACCGAAGGGAATACCCAGAAGTCAAAGCGAACGTTTACTGGCTGTGTGCAAGGCTCACGTTCAACAGGAACGCGAGCTCCAAGAGAAGTATTACGAAAACCTGTTCGTTACTGTGGAAAAAGTGATGAAAACCTCTCAGTCCAATCAAATAAAGACATTGAGAGTGCTTTTGGAGCGGGAGACTGCAGACGTTATGAGAAAACTTCAGGCTACGAGGCACGGAGAGGTGGGTTCGCTACTAATATTAGATGGTTAACACACGTTCCATGCTGCTAGCAATCCGTGACATTTGATAGAAGCAAGTTCCATTTCCAACACGAATTACAGTTCTGCAAATATAAACATTATCGCCCAAGGTCGCTTAAAGGTGGCGTTGTTCTCGTTAGACGTCGTATTCTTTTAAATATCAGTTCAGAATAGCGCATTGTGATAATGTTTGGTATTCCATTCAGTGTTACAGACGCTTTATATATTTGTTTGCGGTTAATCGTAGGTGAAACAGTTGGCAAAGGTCCACAAAGATAAAGCGGAATTAGATCGTATGAAGAGAGAGGTCGCGAAATCAACTGTCGAGAAGGGAGTGAACGAGTGCACACGATTGGCTAAAATTTACGAGAAGAAGCGCACGGAGCTTGAACGGCAACACGAAGAGGTCAAGCAGAGGCTCGAAGAGGAAAGGGCCAAGGTTCGAGAATTCATCGCCTACTGTTTGTTCTACAATTTTTTATACAACTACTCTAACTGTTTCCAGTTGTCTCGTTCGTGTTCCAGGTGAAAGCATCCTTGATGGCGGAGTACAGCAGTCGATGTAGCAAGTACGAGAGCGGTGAGTTGTCTTTGTCGCCATCCGGTGGTACCAGTATGCCGGAATCGCTCAGTGGGAATACATATTGACTCTATCGATCGATGACTTGGCGTTGCAAGTCTCCAAGTGATACAGTTATCGCGGATTCGCGTACCCACGGCGGTAAATGAACTTTACCAGAGGGTGCGAGTCTGGCTCGCGAACATGACAAAGAAACGGATTGCGCGTTACTTCTCCGGAAAGGGGGAGTCGTGTAACGATGACGGTAGGGAATTGGTGATGTCTACGCTGTTACCTGTGTTTTGCTAACATAATTTTATCCACTTTCGTGAAAGTCTTTTTTGCAAGAGCGTGTACAGCAGCATTTAGAAGGGCGGTGTGCCGAGGTTCCAGACGAGCAGAACTCGTTTGCCTGCGAAGCATTTGATAAACATCTCGCGCGCGCAATTTCTTCTGGACACGAGATACCTCGACGACGAGCAGCGTTATGATTATCTATCTACGATAGGTACGTACGTGCACATTTGTGAATTTGATCGTGTACTAACTTTTTCGGAGGGTTACGTGATTTCGCGTAACGATTCTCCTATTTACTCGGAAGTCCTTTGGAAGACCTACGATACACGGATCGATCGTTTTGATCTCAATACGATGGGATAACGACGCGCTTTGCGTTCCATAGAGAATTGGGAAGCTGCTAGCGATAAAGTTCGCTCGAGTTTGTTTCTTTCCGGTTTCGATATTACTTTTTACGCACAGTATTAAACGCACCTGTTTTCTCGTTTCGCTCAATATCGTCACTGCTGGTATCGAGATATTTCCGTTACGTTCTCAGAGTCTTCTTTTTTGTTTTCTTTAACGAAAACTTCGGAAAGGCGCGGGTGTGAACGATCACGCGGAAGAGGTACACGATTCTAAATAAGAAAATAATCTTTCTAAGTGCTACTATTTAATCTTGTTATTATATGTATAAGGCGTTATTTAATTAGCGAAACGATGAGTCGAGTCGCGCGTTCCGAAAGAATTAAACAAAAACTAATAATATTATACTCGTAACGATGCAGGAATCGATCGATCGCTACATAATAATCGGACCTCAGGAAGCACGAAACGTGAGAGGGAGAGAGTGAGAGAGTGCGAGAGAAATAACGTACGTCGCGACGAGGGTGAAATCTCTTTTTGGCCTAGAGGATAAAGGTGACGCGTTCGAGGTCGAGGAAGAATTAAGTTTTGGGCGCGTGCGTGATCTGATATATTTTCTGACTGAAAGTACTCCGTATAAAGACATTTTTTCGATACGTTAGCCTGTATCTATAATGCTAAAGAGTTCGTATTGTATAAAGAAAAGCAAACCAAAAAACAAAAAAACGAGGAAATATTGACGGGAATGATTTCCAGCTTTTTTTGTACCGCGGTTTCGGACTGCGGCCGAAGCGACTCGATTTGAGGCGAGCCTCTTTCTAGGAAGACAATCAAAAAAATGTTACATCGTAACATTGTCCTTGTTGTTTTTAATCGTATGATATTTTAAGCAACTCGATATTAGACATACACACATATATATATATATAAATCTTAATATATATATATATTCTGATTAGCTATTACAAATTTAGGATTAAAAGTTACACACTTGAGCATTGTAAAATCTCTTGTGTGATCCATCCCCATTATTTATTTCGTAATCGAATCCCGCCGAGATGAGCGGCAAGTATCCGAGAATTGCGAGCTTTTTGCAAAGTATGGCGTGTTACATGTATAGACACACGGATATATGTACGCGCATACGTACACGTACGTCATACGCACGCACACACACATGTGCAATTAGAGCGTGATCGTTGTCAACGCGAAGGAAAAGGGGTACCTTTGCTACTATAAGCGTGGTCAAAAATATGCTGTGGAACCCGATAGGAGATGATTCCTCTCGAAACAAGAAACAATCGACTCGAAAGTGTATAGTAGTACAATTTGAATCGCGCGTCAAATTTGTATAAAATGTGTAGATATAATAATTTACGACTGATCGCGAATATATCGTTCTCAAAAATACCAATTACTTTATAGCAGATTCGTGAAATCAAAGTTTAGGTAAGCGTTCGCACTTGTATATTCAAAATGCACTTTCTCGTAAACGAAGGCTCACGCGAAAAGAACATTATTCTACGGTTTGATTATTTTTCTTCCAGAGCAATCGTCTGTTCTCGGGTTTTACCGCGTATTTTCAAACGCATTCGTATACTGTCGTCGTTTACGTTGCGTCGAGGGGTTACGCTCAGATTAATTCCCTTCGATTTGGAGACTGAACCCGATCCTGAGTCGTTGATAAACTATTTTTGGATAGTTTCGCCACCGTTGCTTTATTTATTAAATAATCGGGATTGTTGTTTTTATACGACATGGTTGCGCGAGTCTGGACAGTATTCAGGGACAGTGCGATCCACGCTTGGTTTCCTGGCATTAGAGTTTCCATAAATCTGTCTACAGTGTATTCAGCGGCGAAGCTAGTCACACGTTCGCCCAAGAAATTAATTCACGAATGTGAACCAGACAACGCATCAGGTTTGTCGAGATAGAACACGCGCGGAGTAACAAGAGTAAAGAGAAATCTCAGAGTCACGGGAATGCATTGCTATTATTAGTAAAAACCGGCTGTTTTAATTTAGGCGCCGACACATGCATTTTAGTTACTCTAGGATGGTGTTACCATACTTTTACGTATCAGGGAGCGAAGGGATAACTTAGCGTTAGGCAGTCGAGCCAAAGTTTCTGCTCGAGCATAGTTTTAGGCGTCCATCTGGATGAAACGGTCGTACCTACGACGAGTTACCATTTCTTTCTTAGTTTTACCCTTTCGTTTATCGTGATTGCATTTCCCTAAGAGTTACCATGTTGTTTTGCCCCCTTTCCACGAATGAAAAGAGAGGAAAAGCTATGGAGTCGTAGAGGCGCACACTGGGATGAAACAGTGATAATCTGTAGACGATGATATATATATATATATATATATATATATATGCATGTATAACGTAACTGTAGGCGTGCTGGACTACCTTTTGCGTTTCACCGCAAAGGAAATCAATACATTATAGGACATTATGCTAAGTCGTACGAGATTATCGGATGTATATATATATATAACATGCATGTATATATATGTACATAGATATACGTATGGGGTGATTTCTACATCGAGATCATGATTTTTCTTGATATTAATTTTCTTTCAGCAGTTCCTGAATCCTACCTCGCTCAATCTTTTCTGCCTCAATTGGGACATCAACTTATGAATTCCATGTTAACGTGACGTAAACACTTGAAGTAGAAAAATTACGGTAGGATGACCGCGAACTTTTTGTTACAAACAAAGCCGATCGATCGCTTTGTAAGAATCACTCTATACATATAACTGTACGTGAATGCACGTGTAACGTTTGTATGCATACTGTGTGCGTGTTGATGTTTTTCCCATCGTGTACTCGCAACGATGCACGTTCCCTGCGTCGCCGGTTGCCGCGATACCTGCGCGATTCCCTTAAATTGCGTATTTTATGGAGTCCAAAGACCTCGAAGACCTTGAGAAATTATAAACAGTTGGAATTACGCAAAGTAAATCGTTGTTGTCATTGTAAAAATAAATTTAACTTCTCTTTGACTATCTTCTTCCCTTTGAGAATTTCACCGAGGTTCTCACAGTACCTGAAACCCAAGGGAAACAAACAAGGGAAATCGCGAGGCGCGTGGATATCGCGACGACGCGAGGGCGTGCGAATTCTTCCAACGCTTCGTAGCCGAGATCGAAACGTCTACGAACAATTGAACTGGGAGAGCTGTTCCTCGATTAGCCAAGCTATGTATTATAGTTTCGTTCGAACGCCGAAAAAATTCGAGACGTGCAGAACGTCTGAATCTCGTACTCGAGCTGCATGTTCACGCGATGTTAACTCCTTGGTCTAAAAGAACGCGTTAGACTCGTGGTACGGAAGTGCGCAAGCGATTTTATACCTAACTATGGCACTCGCGGTCCCAGATGTTGATTGGTGTGGCAAGGAGTTAGAGTCGCGGCATTTTAAAATTGCGAATTATATTTTTTGCTGACGTTTCCACGCAGTTTTGTGTAAAGAAACTTGTCCATCGCGTAGTCTTTCACTGTGCAGCTCCATTTTCCATTGTGCTGGAAATGTCGTCAAAAAATCAAACTTGCGTACATGCAGTTTTGGCGCATTTGGGACAAGTTTTTGACAACCTTTCAAAGTATCATCAAAAATGGTTTCTTTCGAATATTTTATTTTCCGCGGCGTTCACTGCGCGGACGCAGCGTATTCGCTCAGGACGAAGTGTTTCGTCCTCTTCCTATATTCCTGTAATATACATACCGCGCAATGCACGCATTTGCGCTCTGAAAACCGTCTAAACGTATTTGGTTACCTGCGTTATGTATATTACACACGTGTACCTAACGTATAAGCGTAAAGACTAGGTTACGAGGACAGATATTATATATATATTCACGTTGATATATTATGTGTTGTTGCTGTTGATGTTGTTAACGGTAGAATAGCGAAAAAGGTGGCAGTAGTAGCGTAGTCGTTGTTCGTAGAATTAATGCGAGACTAGATATTGCGTTGCTTGTATATCGCGAGATGCGACGCGCGATTCCCATTGCAAACGGGAGCGTTACGAAGCCACGCTTCCACGTTTTAAATCGGTGCTGTCCAGGAATAAACTCCCTCTCCATACAAAGTCCAATGTCCACGATATTACAATTGATAGGGTATACGCAGATTTTTACATCTGATTGTATACATAGATCGATGGCAAAAGTGTAACGCGTCAGATGAACCACTGGAGTTAAACTGGCCAGCATTAAGGGCGTCTTCTGGCTTAGAACTTGAAACAAAATTTCTTTACATTTTCTCAAAGTTTCAAGTTTCAATCACATAGGAGCTTGCTGTCTTGATTCGCGCGTCCGAATCGCGAGATACAAGAACGAGTAGGGACGCGTATCGCGTATTGTAAGTTGTAAACGTAGTCTTGAAACGGCCTATCGACGATCGTAGCGTTCTGGCGTCGCTCACGTTCCTCTCAACATTGTTCTCGTGCGTTTCCGAAGGGACGTTCCCGTTCTCTTCTTGAGCGACTTTGCTGGCGAACGCATCAGAGATGGGCAAAATTTTATTCGAGTACCACATAACGACTTTTACTTTATCGAACAGTTAACTTTTGATTTGCTCATAGTGCAATATTTCATTCTGCAATTCGAAGTTTCCATGCAACGGGTAACGGGTAAACGGTCGTTCGTTTTTTATTCTAAATTTGTATCTAGATAAGAAATTTGCCCGTCTCTGTCGTGATCGTAGTTTCCAATCTCGCGCGTCTTTTATTGTATTCCGTGAATCCTTTGGCTTCCGCGCGACAAGGACAGGCGCGTGTATCCTTGTGACAACGATGTGATAACGTGTCCACCGAACTGTTACCGAAAAAAAGAAGACGAGGACGGGGACACACCTTTTGTCTTTCTCCTTTCCGCGCGCGTGCGAGTTGTTCTCTTCGGGATCGTCAGCTGTCAATTCTTCGATGCTTCGAATATATTCGTTGATGTTAAATGTGATTTTCTAGCGACATATTCGTTGTTCGTGTGCGCGGCGTTTTGCGCTCGTCATTTCGTTCGTCATCGACCGAGACCGCTTCCACGCTGCTTCCAGAGGTCTTCTTGTTAGCAGTCGCTCAACGACTCTGGTCGACAACGATGAAAGGAGGCTAACAGACACTTGGATAGAATACATAGATCGTTTGATTGTGCGACGAATATGATCGATATTCGTCGCAGGAAGAATGCAGACATTCGAGGACGTCTTAGGAAGTGCATTTCTGTGTTTTGATGCGCGACGGAGTTGACAGCGTTATGAGCTCCTGAGACGCAACGATTTTTTGTAGATCTAGACTTGGCGAGCAAGAGTAACCGCGGAAGTGGTCTCAAGGGATCGAGCTTGTTGTGTTTCCGACGTTTCTATAGTCGTTTATAGGTCTTGCCAAGTATTCAGAGTTCTTGCCTTTCACTGGGACGCGATTTTCCATGTCCGATCGCGGGGACACGGAACGTACCAGCGATCGACGTTCTTCGTTCGACTTGGCTTTATGTCAGCTCGATGACGCTGACTTGACTCCCAGCTCCAAGTCGTTACCACGCGACTTTCATCTGGAAGCCAGAGTTGGCGTCAGCCACGACGGACTAGGCCACGAAAGCCACAAGTATTTTATTCCAGCTGTTCGCCAGCGTGTATATATGCATATATTTTCTTTCCATTTACGCGTTTATTCTTCGAAGCTGTTCGAGCTAAATTTATTGTTCCCTTCGTATCGCGTAAGAAGCAGCGGTATCGATCCGAGTGGAATATTTACGGACGATTAGTAACGCTTCATCCGTTTGTCCCGCGAGGCGCGCGCGCGCGCGCAAGTTTCTCTTCTGCAAATTAGAACGACGCATCGCAGTTTGTTTTCCCTTGGCTTCCATCGCCACGGTCGATTTTCCTTCGTTCGTCACGCAACACACCGGGCAAAATTAAGGGTTTCGTCCTTTCGTCGTCCGCGAGTCGGGGGGCTCCGTATCTTCTCGCTCGCCGCGCCGTCCAGGACGGTTCGCTGTTAATTGCTCGTACAAAACCGCGCGCCCGCCTATTAGCCGCAATTTACGAGTCGCTTCCACGTTAGATCGACCGACAGCGAATTTATTTATCGTAACGTTCTCAAGATTTTTCAACCGATACATATTTCAAGTAGCTTTAAACGCGTCGGACCGCTGCGCCGCGCGTCAATTGATTAAGCGTGGCAACGCAATTTTCCACGGAGGTCAGCTCCTTTTTCCGTCGCTTTACGTACAAAGAAACGGTGCACGGCTATGATATACCACGCGATTTTCTGTTCCGGTAAACGTCAGCGGTGCACTCGATATTCGTCGAGTTTATGTACCACCGAATACTAATCAGATATAAATGGAAAGTAATGTTCTTTCTCACGGTGACCCATTACAGCTTCGTGTTGTATTATTTTATACATCTCCTGTTCAAGGGAATTTGTAACTTTTTTAAGTAGGATTAATATAGTAAGAGTATTAGTTTAACCAAAAATTCGTGTTAATTGTTACGACATCAGATGCTAGTCTTCCTAGATTCGTTAACTGTTTACGAAACGTATAAATTGAGCTGTGATCTGGGGTCAATTTCAGAAACAGAAACGGAAATACAGTCATCCTCCCTGGCCAGTTATTCCACCGCTGTTACTCGAACGGAAAATATCGCATTCTGCTGTCAGCCACGAGTCGATTCGCACAAACGTTCCGTTGTCTTCGATTTCTTCTTGTCACTTATCGCACGTTCTGCACAACCGACGTGTCCTCGCGATCCGCAAGGACTTCTAGTCCAGTCTCTTTAGATTTCACTATGGAAGCATTCTTTCCAAGCCAACTTTTTCTATTTAATTCTATTAATCCATTGCAAATAGTATGAAAATCACTCCCTGGATCTGTGTACACCATTTGCAACGTCTTGGTAAAGGTGTATCCTCTAAATCAGTTCCATAAGAATTTTCTTATTGTATTCGTATTCTATGTAGTTTCGAGTGACTGGACTATTTGCAGCTGTCGTCCTCAGTTTTTGGCTGGAGTCGCTGCCACGCGTCCAAGGTGACGCTGTCCTCGTTATCGGCGAATTCGCACAGAACTTCCGTAAGTTTAAGAATTTTTTGAGCCGTTTTTTACATATACTTCCGCCTTCCTATCGGCGTCGCGAGAGCTCGCGCGAAACGACCTTTCGATGCGTTCCCATTTGGACTGTTTTCGTACGTTTCGGAGTATTTTTCGATTTCGACGCATTTACATTGTTTCGCTTGAACATAGATCTGTGTTAGATGTATTCGAGGACGATGTCCGTAGAAGCAGGATCGGATTGGCTCTTTGCGGTACAAATTTAACGATTTCAGTACACTTGTGTCGAGTTTTGCTCGACGTGGAACCGCAAGGAGTTAAGATGTACCCATTGAGGGCTACAGGTGATCAGTTGGAAGCGATTCGATAAGCTCAAGCATCCGAGACTACAAGTTTCTGGTATTTAACAATCGTTTCGCTAGAGATTCATTTACGTTTAGGATAGCTAGAGAGAAAAGAGTTTCTCCGAGACGAAAAATATTAATGATTGCCATGTTTCGGAGGAATCTTCCTCAATGCTTGAATTTTGATTGGATGTTTTGGTTGCGTGAGATCAAGTTATCATTTTTCGCTTTTCACTTTTCGCTCATTTCAATCATATTATCCTGACAATACCTGTAGCCCAGGGCTTCGATCCTAATCCGACGCTGCGTAGAAGCCGCGCGAAGCTGAAGCTTCCTAGCCAGACTGTTCAACTGGTTGCTTGCCGCTGAAACAACGCTAAGCTCCGAGAGCAACAATGCTTGAAAATGATCAGAGCCGTTTTGCAAGACACACTTAAGGTACGGTACCACCTGAATTACTGCAAGAGAGCCTACGTGTGAAGGAAATAGTTACCAAGCGATAATTAAGATTGGAGGTTGTAGTTGAATCGATTATCTTGATTATTGCACACGTCTCGTTCGAAATTTCATGCATTAATTGAGGTTCTACCGTAGCCAGTGGTCCTAAGTGAGGGGAAATGCGTAATGCTTCCCCTTTTTACTTTGCTCTGCAATCGACGGCGCTCTTGCTCGTTACAGCCCAATTGAAAAGGCTCGATGCCGGCGAACGGGCCTGGAAGAGCTCGCGAAGCGCGGCAGAGTTTTGAGATGCTTTCGTTTTAGGGTTTCGGTGTCGGTTTCGTTGAAAGAATCAACGACCAGTACGTTCCAGCTGTTCCGAACGGACGAGAAAGACGTCCGCAGCGAGTCGTATACCGGGGGGAGGGGGAGGGGGGGGGGGGCACGTCTCGTGGTTGTATGTTGTGATCGCGTTCCTTGAGCCTCGAGGAAGCGTCTTAGTACCGAAACCGATCGATGTCGACGGTTTCCGTGAACCGTCTTATAAACTTGGGTGTATTTTTTAGAATGAAGCGTTAGACAGAAAATTGTTACTCCCTGTATATGGTTACCGTAAGCACCGCAACAGATCCACTTATTACCCGTACGACGATATATGAGTTTTAACGATATTCTATAAATGGCTGTACCGTATTGTAAAATCAAAGATATATAGTGTACAATAAAGTTTTAGTGGCGTAGAAACGACGCGAGTAGTGTTCCCTCCTCGAGTAATTCCTTGACTTGTCCAGTTCAACGCACCGATTGCAGCTCGAATTTCGATTGCAGCTGTACAAAAGTATTCTTTTATTTTTATTGGTACAAAGTTTCATCTAGAGAAATTAATATTTATATTTTTATCAAAAATTGTCAGAGTAGAGTTCCCTATATTTTCTCAGCGCACGTCGCAAGGTTTTTTAATGTACGCGACCAGAAGCTGGTATCTGCCCAGAATACCCAGTTCTCGCTGATCGCTGTAGTCTTCGTCCGAGAACTGAATCTTCATGACCGTTATTTCACGCATCAACGCATCCATGAATTCATTTTGAAGCTCTTGATCGGGGATCCGCGAAACGAAGGGCGTGATGGGGATCATGAAATCTGTAACGAGGATTCGTTATCGAAAACAAAGAGAGACTCGTTGGAAACACTCGAACGAATCTATGTATAGTCTGAGTCTGTACCTTTCAGTGACTGCGAGTTTCGGAAAATGAAGGTTCTGTCTCTCCTGCTGCAATGCAGGATTTCGAAACCAATGTCTTCCAGGATCTTCCTAAAGGCAGCCCTGGGATCCTTGCAACGATGGAAGTAAGGCACGAAACGATCCACGTCCTGGAAAACGGGCCAAAAGCGTAAATGGTATGAATTCGAGCAGAGTCCTCGACGCGAGATCCTTGTACAACCTGCATGTATGGTTTGTATCGTGGATTCTTGTGTAGCTTCTCGTAAGCGTTGAAAACTTCGGTGGAAGCTAGAAACATGGCCAAGGCTGTCCCACCTGGACGTAGCATCTTCCATACGTTCTCGAAGGTTCGTCTAGTGTTGGTAAGAAATATGATTAGATCCTGGATTTAGCTTTTGATAATAATTTTTATGCAGCAAATTATCCAATATATACAAAATTAGATCCATTTAAAACAGATTCACTGACGTGTTACGAATTAAATTCGTCTTATATTTTATTTTATTTTTGGACAGACTTCTGTTCATTTTTGTTTGTAGTCCTGTCCGGTCAACAGAATTAAATACCCCATGTTCTGGCACCAGTGGAAACAGAAGAAGGAGAACAAGCCATGGTACTGTTCGACGTGCTCGTTTGGCAATTCTTCGGTCTGAATGTCCAAACACGTGAACGATAATCGCTTCTCGCCTTGATACTTCTGTCGCGCGTACTCGATCATCGATTTTGATATGTCTGAACCTTTAAAAACAATGTGAAGAGAGCTTAGTAGTTATCACGAATATTCTGAATTATTTGGTGGTGATATCAACAACTTGGATTCCCTGTCAAGAAATGCCGTAACTAAATATCGTTCTTCTAAATTCCATTCAGCTACGGATATTACCAAATAATTCCTCGAACGCGATTCTTTTTACTCTCTTACCAACTACCTCCACTCCAGACGGTAATTTCGGTAAGAGCAAGTTCTTGGTGACGTCTCCAGGTCCGCATCCAACGTCGATGCACTTGCCCCTAGTCTCCGATATCTCTTTATGGAACTCGTCGATGATGTCGATCGCATCTTGGTACTGGAGCTTGCTGGTGTTGACGTACTCCTCGACCATGTTCATCTTTGAAGCGACTGACTCGATGGAGTCGCGTTTCTATCGATTTCGACGAATGTACGCGAACGTTCCCGCTCGATCCGCGAAATGTCACTGTCGACAGCTTTGCAACACGGCCAGAGGAAGTTGTAACGATTGAGTTCGGTGGACGCGTAACCGACTCGACGCCTAGTCGGATCTTAGACTGGTACCTTTTGGCCTCGAATTGATATTTATATTCGGCGACTCGTACAAACAAGTTTTCTTGCCTCAAAGGTTCCCCCTCTCTTTTCTACGTGTTTAGTACCTTTTTCTTCTTCCTCTACTCTTTTGCTGGCCCGGTTCCGTTCGCCCCCTCTTCTCGATCCCGTCCCCTATCGCCCTTCCGGCCGTACCTACCTCAATATCCAAATTCTTCGCCCGTCACGCTGTCTTCTTAACCCGATGGTCGCGTTCGGCGGTTCAACGACCTCTATTTCGATAATAAAGAACGCTGGAATGCGTTAGGGCTCGCGAGTCCTAATTCGATGTCGAGCCTCTCAGAGATTGGAAGAGACGAGGGTCATTTACCTCTTAGGGCGGAGGTGGGGGACCGTTTGGAGTTCGAAGGCCGCCACGGGGCCCTTGTAGGGCCGCGCATTGCGTCCACTTACGCTGGGCCCTAGGTTTTCGCGGTATTAGGACGGGTAAATAGCAGTTTTTCTTTGTTATCTGTAAGAGAGATCGAACAAATGTTATAGATTCTAATGTTGCTCTGGAATCACACGTTAAAAGATTTTATCTCACGCTTCTCTTCATAGAGCTACAGAGAATTCAACTGTACGTAGCCTTGTCTCAGGATCGATCTATATCTATCGAACCCTCGTGTTTTGACACTCACCTGTCTGCCATCGTGTTAGTTTGTGGAAGTGACGAGTCACAATAACGCCAATTTGTTGTTACTGTGCGCGGCGATAACTTTACGAAGCTGTTGATTCTAGGGCAAGGATACGAAAGAGTATTTTATTTCCGTAACCCTTTGATGGCAAGGATAGTTGATAACAATCATCCATTTGTTATTACATTCCTCGATGATCAATATCTAAGATATTTTACGTTCAAGTTATTACACGCGTTTCTAACAACGCGCGACGGCAGCTGTTTCGGTGCTATTCCTTCCATTCGCGGCTGCGTCTCGCAAATATTTACCTGGACGTCGGTCGAGGGGTTCTTCGCCGCTCCTACGCGGCAGATCGTTAAGGTGTCGTTAGGAAATTGAACCGTCAGCGTCGACTGTCGCGGTGCAAACATTGTATAATATTTTTCGCTCGATTAAAAGCCGCCCTCGTTATCCCGACGGTTGTTCCCCGTCCTATATATTCTCGTTTCGCGTCGACGCCGTATTTACCCGCGTTGTTCGCGCCCGTTGACGTTATTTTTATATTCCGCGTCCTCTCGCGCCGCGGCGCGTGATTAATAAATTAAATTAAACTGGAGCTCGAGAATGTTTTTCTAAACCAATCCGTGGCGATCGAGGACAACGATCGAAGGGAGGACTCGAGTCGGCCCTTTCGGTGGTACAGCGTTATCTTGGGTAGGCCACGCATTTACGTTTAGGACGTCGCCTTATTTGCGTATGCGTGGACACACGTCTCGACCCTCGAGCACCGTCTATGCACACTGGGTGTTCTCTCTATGGTGCTCGGTTGTATGTGACGTTTCCGTTTGCTGTACGTACGGGTTAGGCACCTTGGTGTTGCTGGGCTTTAAGCTTCGCCGGTAAGAAAAACCCAATAGAAAACGTCCTTGACAACGCTCGAGACCAGCGTTGAATGGGGCATCGAGTATCCAGACATAGGACTAGTTCTCGCAGCATTAGGGCTCCCACGTTCAATGGAAGGTAGATGATCTGTTCAGCGCTCCCTGCATCGAGAAGCTTATAGGTGCCGTTGAATCCCAGAATTTCTAAACCCATGCCATATTGTAAATATGGAGCATCCCGTTGCCTGTATTTATTCTTGCACGTTCAGCGAAAAATCCGATAGATACGTCATTTTGGCAATTTTGGATTTTACTCTCCCCGAATCCTATTTCGCGACGGAGAAATGGATCGACGGACAGAGAAACGGAGAGACGGAGGAGAGGAGAGAATAACTCAGCAGCATGGCGGCAGGTGGTGGCCAAAAGGGTCGCGAGGGGTGGAGGACGAGGTGGCTGGAGGAGGAGAAAGAAGATGGATGCGAAACTCGCGGGGTAATGATAGATAGAGACCGCCTCTGCCTCGCGACCTCTCGCACCTTTTCTTCGGGAGCATCTTCTATCAGTGCCGGCCAGTGGTGCACACAGATACTTCAGCATCGCGCACAATGGGGTAGAATCCCAAAAGTTAGCCAGAAATATCTTTTTAAATAGAAGTCTGACGTTGCAAGTAGCGCGAATACGTCATACGAACACGATCTATCGATTATATCTTGTGTCCTTCTAAAGAAGAAGGCCTAACATTTGTGACAAGTGCAGCAGAGCAGGAAAATTTCGACATTTAACAGAAAATTCTTCTACCAACTCGAATCTGTGAACAGTTTTCTTCTTTTCTGAGCGCATCCGTCCGTCTGGTCCCTTTCGCCTAAATTCTCCGCTGCGTATCGAACGAAGGAGACGCGTTGGAGAGAACGAGAAGGGCTTTGATAAATGACTGACGCGGAAAAAAATCCGCGTCGATACGTCTTGCTCGAGAAGACGCGCGCTCGTGAAACGAAGGGGGAAGGGCGGCGGGAGGAAATACGCGATCGGGCAAAAATCCCGCAGGATTTTAATCCTGGAGGATGAACCAGATCAGGGTTTCTCAAACTTCACCTGGCTCTAAACAAAAATATACATATACATAGGGATAAATGAATGTAGTCGTCGTGACACAAAATACCGCCATTTCTCCATGACGGATATAGTCGTCAAACACAACTGACTGGTCAATGGAAAACAAAACTGCATCTTGAACCTGTATTTACGTTTACTCGATTTAGTTTCGTATAAAAGTTTCAAGCTGGTACAAAGGGTTTTTTGGTCGCTGAAGATGTTGCGGCGGTGGTCCGCGACGTGGAGTGCGAGTGGGTCGATGGGCCTCTCTCGCGGATGCGTGCTTTATCGGAAACCACTGAGTGAGATATATGGAGAGATTATACGAGATGGCGTTTCGGAGTCGAACAGGCCGCTATTCTCCGCTCCGTCAATTATGCTAATTTCGATTGCCGCGAGATTAATGGAAGAAGGCGGCGTCCCCTTCGTATAACTCGGCTCTAGGAGCCCCGACGCCGGAGACCTGACGTTCCTTCCGCATTCGACCGACCGTGCATAATGTACCGGACTTGTAATTATTGCGGGTTACACGCTGACCTTTCCTAGTCGCGGAACAGCTTCTCCGCTCGCTGCCAGCTCGTAGAACGCCACTCGATATTATCGAGGCACGATGAACTTTGGGCTGGAAGCGTAGTTCAGTCTTATCTGAAGTTCTAGATACGTAGTTTTTTCACGTAGGGCGTCGATGGACCGTTAGATGTTAACTTCCAAACTCTACACTCGTCTCGTAGTCGTAATGAATCGTTTTAAATTAGAATAGAACCAATTTGCAAACTGCGGCTTCGTTATCGAGATGTAAGAAGTTGAAATTTGTTTCTCAGGTTTCAATTATTCTCTTAAGAGTTACGTTGCTACGTTAGTGGAAATCTATTATTTTATTGGCTTGAGAATCCTGAGATTACAGGAATCGAAAACGGAAAACAGAGCGGCAGGAAGGAGACCGTCTGGCGGCAAACGTATCCATAACAAGAGTCGAATACCTGCTCCACCTCTTGACCCATCGCGACCTCTTCCGTATCTTCCGGCGCTTACGTGGGCGACTGACGCATGTGACCTCTATTTCGACGTTTCCTATTGTCGAGGATCCCAGTGACGCATTGTCCGCGACCGAGACCTCTCGATTCTTCGTCGACCTCGCGAGCAGATAAGCTTCGTTTAAAATTCCATGGGTATCGTTCGGACCATCACGTCTAAAAAAAGAACGACAAACGACCAAGTGTCACAACTCGACGACGATTGTCCAACGGAAACGGAAATTTGGAGGAAAGTACACGGAGGTGGTGGAAATGATGGAGAAGTTTACTTGACGATTCTTCGACATAAAATTCAATTTTCCTCCACGTTTATTTCAAGCGTTTCTTCAAAGTACAACTAACGAATGCAGCCCCCAACCCCGCCCGTGGGCGCGCCACCGGTGGGTTTCGGTGAAAGGGCGCGAACGTAGGAACCCTTCCCCGTGAAAATATTAAAACGGACCTGGTGCGTCGCTGAGCGTGTTGTGTGCACGCTCCACGGCTTCGTAGGAAAGTATGAAAATCCATACAGTCGCTCGGAGAAAATATCCGTCATTTAAAATGGATGGATTTAGGTGGATATAAAAGTGAGGGGTGGAAGAAACCGGTGGCAGCGCGAAGGGAGGCCCTCGTCTCGGTCACGGGAGGAGGGCGAGGTTGGAGGCGACTGCTGAAAGTCGTTGGAGGTGGAGGTCGGAGATGGTGGCGGCGGCGGCGGCGGCGGCGGCGGTGGCGATGGTAGTGGTTGCCGGTGGTGTTGGAGATTTAAGGGAGACATTTTAAATGGATGGTTCTCTCGTAGAAGCCGACCGCCTCTGGTATTATCCAATACCGTGCCTCGTCCCGCGGCACCGTGTTTCTCCACGAGAATTCGCGACCATCCGAACGAAAGGATCGCTAAAGAATTATGCACGCTAGCTTTTTCTCAACACCGACTCTCGACTATGCTCCCCTTTATTATCGATACCGAACCGGAATCCTCGCCTGGTGTTATCTAGCGTTTTAATTCGAATCAAATTTAATATAAACATTTGTGAGAGTAGCCAAATGATAACTTAAAAAAGGCCTCGAATATATCTGAATCAATGAAATGGTTCATTCCATATGATCACGTCTGATCGTTGAGAGTGCTTCTTCGCTCCCTCAAAGCTCTCGATGTACCTAAAATTCCTACGTTACGACGTCCCCCGCAAGCCCGAAAACTTTTGGTGATATGAAAAAGCAAAGTTTCGCGTCAAGAAATAAAAGTGGCTCCCTTCGTCAACAGGGATCCTCCCAGCAGGGAGAGATACATTTGGCAGGTTGTATCGTATCAAGGTTATCGCTTAACAAACCTCTCGAGTGCGCCTCGAGTGCCTCGCTGTATTTGTTACATCAACCATACCCGTGCTCGTTCCTCGTCTTTAAGGCGAAACGTTGGCCGCCGTGTATCGGGTTGTATCGCGGAGGAAGATAGTGCTACATCTCTTTA